TGCCCCTAGAAGCAGCTGTAAAAACATCCAGTGTGCACGAGTCCTGAATCGCACAGGTGATGTGATTTCAGCCCATTCAATTTGAATGGACTCAAATCGCACTGCATTGCAGATTGCATGGTACATTTATACCATGCATCGCAGTGCAGGCAAATGCACTGCATTTAGGGTGTCATTAACTTTAACAACCGTTGCAGATCACAACTAAAGTGCAGTTTGAATATGGTGTGGGAAAACGTGCATAAAACGCGGATTTCCCGCACCGCATTCTAGTTTGAACCTAGCCTAAATGCTTGAAGTGGTTATATTCTGCCCATACACCACTGCATTAATTCTAGTTTTCTTTGACAATACTAAAATATACTGATAGGCGAATCGCTTTCTACCTATAGGTTGGAATGTTTCTATATAAAGTAGGAACATTAGTTTGGAAACTCCACTGGACCAGGGAATGCCGTTGATCAGGAACAGTCTGTAAGTGTTGCAGAATATGGCAATATAAAAATTTAGGATATAAATAAATAACTAGAAAGTGAAGCATTTTCTTATCTCCTAAAATGTAATCTCTCCACCATTCCCTGCCCAACTGTCAATCCACCCAGCAGTAAAATCCTGACTATTTATTGTAATCTAAACTGGTTTCTGCTTTGACATGTGTCACACTTGGGCTTGAACACTATATTGCCAAAAGTATTGGGACATCCCTCCAAATCACTGGTGTTCCAATCACATCCATGGCCACAGGTGTACAACATCAAGCACCTAGGCATGCAGACTGCTTCTACAAACATTTGTGAAAGAATGGGTCGCTCTCAGGAGCTCAGTGAATTTCAAGTCCATCTGTGAAATGTCCTTGCTACTAAATATTCCACGGTCGACTGTTATTGGTATCATAAAGTGGAAGCAAACGGAAACAACAGCAACAGGGTCGTAAAATGACAGCAGGGTCAACACAAGCTGAAGAGCACAGTGCACAGAAGTTGCCAACTGCCTGCAGAGCCAATAGCTAAAGACCTCCAAACTTTATGTGGCCTTCAGATTAGCACATCAGTGCATAGAGAGCTTCATGGAATGGGTTTCCATGGTCGAGCAGCTGCATCCAAGCCTTACATCACCAAGTGCAATGCAAAGCGTCGGATGCAGTGGTGTAAAGCACGCCGCCACTGGACTCTAGAGCAGTGGAGACGTGTTCTCTAGAGTGACCAATCACGCTTCTGTGGCAATGTGAAAGATGTGCCTGGTGGTTGCCAGGAGAACAGTAGTTGCCTGACTGCATTGTGCCAAGTGTAAAGTTTACTGGAGGGGGGATTATGGTGTGGGGTTGTTTTTCAGGGGTTGGGCTTGGCCCCTTAGTTCCAGTGAAGGGAACTCTTAGAACTTCAGCATACCAAGACATCTTGGACAAATTTCAGCATACCAAGACATCTTGGACATCTTTGGGGATGGCCCCTTCCTGTTCCAACCTGACAGCGCACCAGTGTACAAAGCAAGGTCCATAAAGACATGAATGAGGGAGTTAAGGGTGGAAGTACTTGACTGGCCTGCACAGAGTCCTGACCTCAACCTGAGATGAACAAGGATGAATTAGAGCGGAGACTGCGAACCAGGCCTTCTTGTCCAACATCAGTGCCTGACCTCACAAATGTGCTTCTGGAAGAATGAAATAAATAGCAAACTTCTGGGCGCTGATTTCGTAAATGAAGTTAGCATATGTAAAAACAAGGGCCAGTTCCACAGCTGCTCTAACCACCATCAGGAGTAGTGTGTAAATGGATATCAATATCAAAAAAACTGTACGGCACTTATGGTACAAGGCCACTTAATAAACTGTTGATATTTCAATCCAAGAAGAAAAGTTTAATAGTTCAGTGAAGTGACAAACCATAAGGAACGAAGCACCCATTTATCATTTTAAGAGCACTTTATGTGGACGACACCATAAGAGCAATTTCTTTCAAGGATTAGCTACAGGGATTGCATAAACGGTATAATTTGCATAAGTGGATGATTTTAAATATTTATAATTGTATAGATATCACACAGGAGTATATGTTGTGTTTAAGTAAAGGCAGGTGTCTTGTAGTGCATTGTATACAAATTTTAAGGAGGACTTGTAATGCAATGCACATATACATTTTCAGCTTGAAGAGGATGCACTTAAAGTGCTGAAGGCTATAAAGTGCTATAAAACATCCCTCCATTTTAAGATGTGCTAAAAGGTGTGCTAAGAAATGTAAATATAAAGCATTAACCACACTAAAAGGTTTGTAATATACACCTAACATGTTATCAATAATGTCCATGTAAACTGATTTTATAATCAGTCACTATAAACTAAATAAAATTCAAAGAAAAAGTACTATTACAAATATTGGTACAATATAAAAAAAATTAGGTCACAACAGGACTACTTATCCAAAAGGACAATGAACATATAAAAACCTATGAAAATATATAAATATAGCATAAAAACTTTACCTATCCTTTCTACACTAGAAAAAGACATTTGTGCATAATATAAACAATTAGATCTATTTATTCATATCAGATGGTGACTAAAAAGAAAAAAAAAATACTCAGAAAAAAAATACTTGAAAGATAAAACAAATCATACTTGACTGAGAAAGGGAGAAGTAGGTTCATTATAGAACATCAGCATATGATGGGAAAAACTAATTGGAACCTATCAAACAGATCTCATATTGTATTTTATAGAACGTCAGTCAGGTAAGTAACTAAATGTAATTCACATTATACAATGTACTTCTGGGTCCTTGTTTAACCCATCAGGTGTCATAATTCCCAATTTAAATATCTACAAAGTTTCTCTTCTGCAAAGAAGGGAAAATCTTTTGTTCAGAGTCAAAAGATCTGTCATTGATACATTCAATCTCCAAAACCTCCATTAGTTTGAAATCTTTTTTTATGGCAATGGAGAAAATGGCGTGGAACGCTACGCTGGTCATTGCCGTCTATAATAAGTTGATGTTCACCAACGCGTTTATGTAATGTACGTTTAGTGCGACCACCATATAACAGTTTAAATGGACAGCATAGAGCATAAATAACTAATTTGAAAGAACAGGTGATGAATTGTTTCATCACAAATTCATTCCCCTTACTGTCCAAGAAACTGGATCGTCCATGGTGGATGGACTGACAGGTCAAACATCCCCTTTTGTAACATTGGAAAATGCCTGTTCTATTATCAAAAGTAAGAACATATATCTGAAAGGAGTCTTGTTTTTTTTGCATGTTGTTAGCTTACTAGGAGCGAAAAGAGTTTTTTAAATGTATGAGCACACTTAAAAGTAACAGAAGGATCCGAAGGTAAGAATGGGCCAAGTTTTGGGTCCAGTTTTAGAATGTTCCAATGTTTGCGGATGATATATGAAGCAAGGTTTGGAGCTGTTCTGTTGAATACATTTTATTATTGTTTGTCACTTCATTGAACTATTAAACTTTCCTTCTTGGATTGAAATAACAGTTTATTAAGTGGCCTTGTACCATAAGCTCTGTACATTTTTATTGCTTCTGGAAGAATGGTCAAACACTCCCATAGACACACTCCTAAACCTTGTGGAAAGCCTTCCAAGAAGCTGTTATAGCTGCAAAGGGTGAGCCAACTCAATATTGATCCCTACTGACTAAGACTGGGATGCCATTAAAGTCAATGCTTGTAAAGGCAGGCGTCCCAATACTTTTGGGAATATGGTGCATCTCTCCTTCAGCTACATTCTGCTTTTATTTGAGATCAGTTTAAAATGCTTCAGAAATTACATATGGAGAGTTTATTGACGGGGCATCTGACCTGCTGCAGTTAATATCCTAAACTGCATCAACCTGCTTTTGTATTCCCATTTACCTATATTGATGAAGAAAAGAACAAAAGTCCAGCAACATATGCCCTTTAAGAGACCAGACACTATCCAATTTGATTGTACAAACTTATTTAGGTCTAAAATCAAAAATATATTACAACGGCAGGCCTGCATTGTAAACCATGGAGAAACCTTTTATGTGCCGCTCCAAGCTGGAAGTGAAAGAAGATCATCCCACCAGCATGGAAAAGAAGGAGCAGCATCCCAAAGTGGTTCCAGAAATTCCGGTATAGTGAAGGGGCGGACGCCGCTCAAACCCGACCCTACGAGTCAGAGATGTAGAATGTCCTCAGCTGCCGCTCTAGCCATGCTCTCTGATGCGGCTTGTCCCACCCTGATCTGTGACCAAGCCCCCCCAGTGGGAGGGATGAAACGCATCAGCAGGCATGGCTAGAGCGGCGGCTGAGGTCATCCTACATCTCTGACTCAGAGTCGGTTTTGAGCGGCGTCCATCCCTTCACTATACTGGCAGGCCTGCATTGATACAAAATGAATATGTTGTTCAGGAGTGTCCTGATATTACAGGAAAAAAAAAAAAATCACAAGGAGGCGACAGGAAGTTGGCTGGCACAAGCAAGGTCTTCTAGGTGTACAGCCTTTTGTGGGGTTGTTGGGTTGGACAAGCTATGTGGTAATTACTAAGAAAAGGAAGGCTGCTTTCCTCCCTCTTATGATTTGGAGATAAGGAGCAGTCCAGAAGTGGGAACTCAGGCAGGACTGACAACACTGCAGGGTATTTTTGTGCAGCAGAAACAGTGTTGTCAGTTCATGTCAGTTCTGGCAGAATGAACAAGACTGTCTCTGTACTTGCAGCGTAGACTCCGAACATGCTACATACACTTCTTCTAATCTCAGCTTGTTACCTGTATGAAAGACACCTGGTAGCCAGAAATCATGCTGAATGATAGGGGATCAAATACTTATTGCCCTCATGAACATGCAAATCAGTGCATAATTCGTTAGAATTTTTTGTTGCTCTTTTCTCTCAGTGTTACAATACACCTACCATTCGATTTTTAGACTGATCATATCTTTGTGAGTGGGCAAATATTCAAAACCAGCAGGGGATCAAATACTTATTTCCTTCACTGTAAAAACCCTTGTACTGAGTGATCAGCTTCAGAGTAGATTATATGGGAAGGAAAAAGGCATGTGTGAAAGTGATGTAGGAAATCTACTTACTGATTTGTAGTCACGATGCAACTTGCTGTATTGCCACATGTTGGTAAGGAGGCTGGAGGCTGCCCGGGAGGCCTTCTCACTGTCTGGACTAAAGAAGAGACCATCTTAATGGGTTGTAATTAGCATTATTACCTACAAATACTAATCAACTATAAATTAATGGCTTATTTATTGTAATTCTTTAACCACTCACCTACAGGGCACTTATACCCCCTTCCTGCCCAGGCCAATTTCCAGCTTTCAGCGCTGTTGCACTTTGAATGACAATTGCGCGGTCATGCAACACTGTACCCATATGAAATTTTTATCATTTTTTTGTGACAGATAGAGCTTTATTTTGGTGGTATTTAATCACCTCTGGGTTTTTATTTTTTTCTTAAACAAACCAAAAACCACTGAAAATTTTGAAAAAAAAAAAAAAAAAAAAAACCACATTTTTTCTTAGTTTTTGTTATAAAATTTTGTAAATAAGTGATTTTTCTCCTTCACTGATGTGTGCTAATGAGGCTGCAGTGATGGGCACTGATGGACACTGATAGGTGGCACTGATGAGGAGGCACTGGTAGGTGGCACTGATGGGCATTGATAGGCATCACTAATGGGCACTGAAAGGCAGCACTCATATATGGCACTGATAGACGGCACTGACTGGCACTGTTAGGCTGCACTGATGCACACTGATAGGCGGCACTGACTGGCACTGATTGGCAGCACTGATAGGTGGCACTGACTGGCATTGATAGGTGGCACTGATGGGTGACACTGAAAGGCAGCTCAGATGGGCACTGATAGGTGGCATTGATGGGCACTGGCAGGTGGCATGGATGAGCACTGAGAGCTGGCACTGATGGACACTGACAGGTGGTGCTGCTGGGGCTACACAGATCATCAGGGCACACTGATAATCAGTGCTCTGATGATCTGGGTACATGTCCCCTCCGAGGAATGCCGATTACTGGCTCTCCTCTCCTCTCGAGCAGTCAGCGTGATAGCTCGTGAGGAAAGAAATGCTGATAAATCGGCATTTCCCTGTTTACATGTGATCAGCTGTGATTGGACACAGCTGATCACATGACTGAGCCGACATCTTCGGCTCTTTCCGTGGATCGGTGATCCGCTATGTCCGAGGGACAAAGCGCACCGCCGATCGCCGCGCTCCGGGAGCGGCGCATGCGCGGTTAGAATGGGAGGACGTCATAGGACGTCCTCCCAGAACGAAAGAACCGCCTTGCATCCATCATATTACTATATGATGGACAGGAGGCGGTTAAAGAGTGACTCCACTTTTGTTGATAAAAAAAAAAAATGTGATTCCCTCTGGATGATCCATGTACATTGCAAGGATTTTAACAAACTTTGTAGCAGAGCCCTATCAGTTTCTGTTCTTAGGAAAAAGCTTTATTTCAAACTATGTCCTGGAAGTCCGGTTCCTAGTTGGGAGTGTCTGTGTTCAATTAAAGCAACTGATGCACTTGCAGTGCCGTAATGAGGAAAGGTGCATGGTTAGCATCCCTCTAAAGCTCACCATAGATGGATCGAATCTTGGCAGGGACTGGATGAGATTCAATCCATCTATGGGCAGGCTGGGTGCACTTAAGTCGATCCATCAAACAACTTCAGTACAACCAGCCCGTAAGATTTTTTGTTTGCAATTACTGCTGGTGGCTGTAGTCACTAGCAGTAATTAATGTGTTCTGCTGGCAAGGAAGGCTCTCTGCCAGCAGAACACAGAAGATCCGTGGGAGGCATTCCACCATCAACACTGTCTGTGTTGATGGGGGAATCGAGTGATTTTCTTTCCTTCCACCCATGGTGGAAGGATAGAAAATCATATCATCTATGGCCTGCATAAGTAACTAACCCTAGGGGAATATCTTACCAAAAATATAATTCCTATTGCAAAAGATGCCTAAAATATGACTTAGTGCAGTCCTTATCTTAGGCTGTATCTTAGTGTAGCCTTCTGGGAAAATCAATTAGCCAATCGCACAAGCAGGAAATTACAATTTTGAGGAAGTTCTGTACACAAACTGTGTACAGAAAGCCTGCAGGTTGCTATTTTGCATTGAAATTTACAGAAAATTACAGTGCTGCAGATTGAAAAGTAAAGGTAATTTTCAATAGCAAAATACAATGTGGTTTGTGTAGCAAATGTATATACCAGATTTTTTTTTTGAGAAAAAGGTGGACACCGCTCAACCGACCCCAGGAGTCAGATGCATGGATGTCTTGGCTTGACCTTAGCAACCGTTCTGGCCACACAACCCCTGTGCATTTTGCCTCGTCCACCGGGGCTTGGCTCACAAAGGGGTGAAATGTATCTGTGGGCATGGTCGGAGAGGTGGCTGAGACTAAGCCATTTATGCGTCTGACTGCTGGGTTCGGTTTAGAGGGGTCTACCTTTTTCCCCTGTCAGCTATACTGGACATTGCTCCGGGACACCTGCTCCCTTTCCTTGCTGGTGGGGTGATTCTCATCTTACTATCCAGCTTGGAGCACCACTTTAAGTGGTAGTAAAGTTAATCTGCTGACAGGCAGGGTTTTTTATAACAGAAGAGACCCTAGAGGTTTCTTCTGTCATAAATCTCTCCACTGCCTGTTTGCAAGTAGTGTGATCTGAGTCGTACATGCGCAACTCTGACCACATTTTCGGCTCGCTCTGTGTACCACTGCGGTGTGACTCTCGGGCGCTTGTGTGGGTGTGACATCGCCCCGGTACAGCCATTCAAGGCAAAGATCGAAGAAAGCCCAGGAGAAGATGGAAGCTGCTGGGGACAAGGGAGACCCATGACAGAGTAGACCATTCCGTCTGTAGGAAAGTCTGTCATAATGTGCTAGTATGCAGTGCATAGAGCTCCTAGGGACCCTTTTTTTTTTTTATTAAGAAAGGCTTTACTACCCCTTTAAGTTAAACAAGATACATTCAAATGGTATTTTTATTTGTCTTTAGTCTGTGCAAAAGCAGATTTAGGACCAAACAATTTTTCTTTGGATATAGCAAGGCAAGGTTAAGTCCTTGCCACATCTGTGTCACTTTGGGGTGAATTCAGTTCAATTTCTATAATTTCAGTTCATGTTCCATAGACACAGCAGGAAATAAGAGGATGTTTCTTCATAATTTGGTAATTCCTCTTTAAAAGGGCAAGCTCTGGTTTTCATTCTATCAGGCTGCTAGATAAGTGACCAGAACAGACCCTTAATCTATGCTAGAGACATCTACTCCGGATACCCATTCTTAGTCCGGCTTTCACCCCAACTCCTCCCTGCACAAGCCCTGATGAAGGGGGATCTGTAAAGCCCTGAAATGTGGTTTTGTTTATTTTTCATGGAATAAAATCTGAACTGGACGGTCAGCCAAACATCTTTCTTCATTCTACTAAACCTACCACTATCATTTTAGGCACCACCCTCTTCGGACCCATCAGAACTTAGAGTGACCTCCTATTTGAAATGTTAGTGGATATGAATATATATCAAAATCCTGATAGCTATATCCAAACTTATTACAGTGTTGGGGATCTACCTCAGGCTGCAAGCTTTTAGTTTTTTGTTATACTGCATTTTTTGCATTACCTTTATGCGTTTGATATATTTTAACATTACAAAGTACTTAGCTTGAAGGTATATTAAAAGTGCATAAGCTAACTAGCAAGAAAGTACATTAAAAGTGGATAAGTAAGCTAACACACAAAAATATTAATAGGTGTGCTACTGCTACCAGATTCGTTATATCTCACCTATTGTTCTGGTACTAGGCCTAGCCTTAAACAATGTCCTGTGAACTTATCTTGTCTAGCACCACTTACCCATCTCTGTTCCTCTTGATGTACATCAATTTGCTGAGCCCGTTGAAATATACTATATCTCGTGCTGCGAGAGGTCCAGCCACAGTCAGGTTATTGAGCACAGCGATAATGTTCACAATGACTTCAGCAGGAGGACTTTTATCATTGCTGTCCCCAGGAAGCTTCTCAAGAAGATGGCTGACTAGCTTGGTGGCTGTAACATCAATAACACAATTAGCCAGGATGAAAGACCACAGTCCATCTAATTCTATATATTCTTACAAATTCTAAAGCAAGATAAGATTTAAGTAAAGAAATGCCAAGCTAAGAAACTTTTACTTTGGACCTGCTAGAGACAGTCAGGCCTATTTTTGGGATCAATTACTGTACAATTTTAATAGGTATAGCTAGAAAAGTATTTTTAAAGGGAGGATATCATCAATTACACTTTGAAGTGGACTTCTAGCACTGGCCTTCATCATATTCCTTGATAACATTAAAGAAAAAAAAAAATTAGATGATTTATATAAAGAAAATCCTATTGTACTAGCAATGGGTATCTCTGCACTTGGAAGTCAGATTGATCTGCAGAGCATCTGAATAACACAGGTTATTGTACTTGTGCACAAAGTGAGACTGTTGCTTTTAGGGTTCTTTAATGACCATTAGCACAAATCCTTAATAGTACACATTTGTCAAATTTGGAAATGCAAGCAGGGAACATTCTGAGCATGCATCTAAGCCTGTTTTCATAAAGAATAGGATTCCCAACTCCACCCTGCCCACCAATTACACTGTGAAAAAAAATTAAAGGAACACTTTGAAAACACATCAGATCTCAATGGGGGAAAATATCATGCCAGATATCTATATTGCTATGGACTGGGTAATGTGTTAGGAACATAAGGATGCCCCATTGTTTGATGGAAATGAAATTTATCAACTTACTAAAGGACTGAATTCAAAGACACCCCTAAAATCAAAGTGAAAAAATGATGCAGCAGGCTAGTCAGTTTTACTGAAATTTCATTGCAGAAACTCAGAATGGTACTCTGTAATTTGTATGGCCCCCATGTGCTTGTATGCATGCCTGACAACTTCAGGGCATGTTCCTAATGAGATGATGGATGGTGTCCTGGGGTATTTCTTCTCAGATCTGGACCAGGGCATCACTGAGCTTCTGGACAGTCTGAGGTGCAACCTGGCATCGGATGGACCGAAACATGATATCCCAGAGGTGTTCTATTGGATTTAGATCAGGCGAGTGTGGGGGCCAGGCAATGGTATCAATTCCTTCATCCTCCAGGAACTGCCTGCATACTCTCGCCACATGAGGCCAGGAATTGTCATGTACCACGAGGAAATCAGGACCCACTGCACCTAGCGTAGGTCTGACAATGGGTTCAAGGATTTCATCCTGATAACTAATGGCAGTCAGGGTGCCATTGTCTAGACTGTAGAGGTCTGTGCATCCCTCCATAGATATGCCTCCCCAGACCATCACTGACCCACCACCAAAATGGTCATGATGAACAATGTTACAGGCAGCATAACATTTTCCATGGCTTCTCCAGACCCTTTCATGTCTGTCACATGTGCTCAGGGTGAATCTGCTGTCATCTGTGAAAAGCACAGGGCCCCAGTAGCGGACCTGCTAATTCTGGTATTCAATGGCAAATGCCAATCAAGCTCTATGGTGCCGAGGAGTAAGCACAGGGCCCACTAGAGGACATTGGGCCCTCCCAGGAGTTTAATTGACTTGATGCTATACTCTAATTAAAAGTGTTGTTTTAATTTTTCTGACCAGTGTATAATCATTAAATCCCAAATTTTGTTGTTTTTTTTTTTTAGATCAGCACAAGGGATGGTACTTGAATGTGAAGTATCCTTTGTGCTGCTGGCTGCTCTTAGTTAAAATCTTCTGTACTCTGCCCCCCTCTTACCCCTGCAGACATAATCTTCTGATGCTGTGGGGGTTAATATGACCGGCTGGACCTGTCACAGGCACCTAACCCCCCCCCCCCCTCATCCTCCATTCATAAAATCAGTGCTAAAGCTTCCAGAAATAAAATGTGATCTATCAATAGATGAGGAAGACCTGCTATTTATCCACCCATCCTCTATTCATAGAATACTTATACTTCAAATACTCATTAATAGAAGCTATAGTACAGCTTCTGTGAATAGAGAAGGAGGGAGAAAAGGGCGGGCATAGTTGACATGTGCCTGTGATAGGGCCCAGCCAATCAAATTAACCCCCACAGCACTGGAAGGGGTGGAAGATGACGGAAAATTTTCAAGAAGACCAGCCAGCAGCACAAGGGACACTATATGTTATGCCAAAACAAAAAAAAAAAAAAAATGAATATCGAAGCTTTGGCTTTAATACAGAAATCATTCACAACTCTGCCTGACCCGTTCTCCAAGCATCAGCGAGAAAGGGACTTTTCACAGCACAGAATTTGCAAAAGGCAGATGCACTGAAAAAGCCTGACTCCATGTGGCTGCAATAGAAATGTATTTAAAACTCAGATTAAGGTAATTTTTCTGACCTTACCAAAGTTAAAATATTTCATAAATTGCAAGCACATTCCTAAAGGACAGGCAATTGACTTTGAATTTATTTGCTGGCTGGAGGCTCTCTAGGCCCATCTTTCTCAAGTAATAGGTTGTGACCCAAAAGTGGGTCATGACCAGGGGTGGACTGGGCTGTCGGGCAATGCCCCCCAGGCCGCTCTAATGCCCCAATAAAGTGTCCGGTGCCCTAACATAGCTTAATAAAAACCGCTGGCCGAACTAATATACATGTTAAGACAGCCGGGGCTGGGACTTTCATTTTCACTAGCACTATAAATACTGCACTATCCATTTTGGAAGGAAGCCATTTGTTTACGGTTTAAAAAGTGCATATACATTGCAGAATACTGCAGAAGTTGTTTTGTGGAATAAATTATAATATTTCGGAAATTAAATTATTTTTGGGTCATGACATAATGACCAAGGACAATTGTGGGTCCTAAGGTTACACAGTTGAGAACCACTGCTCTAAGCCCAAGAAAAGTGGTTTTAGTGCAACAAGAACCCAGTATAATGGTTCACATGATCAGAATAGTAAAGTAACCAGAGTAGTAAAAACATCAGATATGATAAGCAAAATGATCAACTACAGCAGCAGGCTTAGCACTCACACATCTCATCCTTATTCCTGGCATGTCTTGACAGATTGCGGATGAGCCCTGTTAGGGAGCGCAACTGGCTGTGATCTGCTGTCCTCAAACGGTCCAGGACGGGGTTCAGAATTCGTTCTTGCTCCAATGCCACTTGACTCATGACAGCCGCCCACTGTTAAAGCACAAACACACAAAGATGTGAAGTTGCACATTTCAGATATATATACATATATACACTTTAAAAACACATCAGATCTCAATGGGGTAAAATATCATATTGGATATCTATACTGATATGGACTGGGTAATGTGTTAGGAATGCAAGGATGCCCAAGCGTCTGAATTCAATCCTCTGTAGGTTACAGATAATTTTAATTTTCATCAAAGACACCCCAAAAATCAAACTGAAAAAATAATGCAGCAGGCTAGTCCATTTTGGTGAAATTTCATTGCAGCAACTCAAAATGGTACTCAGTAGTTTGTATGGCCTCCACGTGCTTGTATGCATGCCTGACAACATTGGGGCATGCTCTAAATGAGACAACGGATTGTGTCCTGGGGAATTTCCTCCCAGATCTGGAACAGGGCATCACTGAGCTCCTGGACAGTGAGTTGAAACCTGGCGGCATTGGATGGACTAAAAGATGATATCCCAGGGGTGTTGTATTGGATTTAGGTCAGGCGAGCGTGGGGGCCAATCAATGGTATCAATTCCCTCATCCTCCAAGAACTGCCTACATATGAAGTCAGGCATTGCCGTGCACCAGAAGGAACCCAGGACCCACTGCAACAGCATAGGGTCTGACAATGGGTCCAAGGATTTCATCCTTATAACTAATGGCAGTCAGGGTGCCATTGTCTAGCCTGTCAAGGTCTGTGCGTCCTTCCATGGATATGCCTCCCCAGACCATCTCTGACCCACCACCAAAATGGTCATGCTGAATGATGTTACAGGCAGCATAAATGTTCTCCATGGCTTCTCCAGACCCTTTCACGTCTGTCACATGTGCTCAGGGTGAACCTGCTCTCATCTGTGAAAAGCACAGGGCACCAGTGGCCGACCTGCCAATTTTTGTGTTCAATGGGAAATGGCAATCGAGCTCTGTGCTGCCGGGCAGTTAGCACAGGGCCCACTAAAAGGATATTGGGCCCTCAGGCCACCCTCATGAAGTCTGTTTATGATTGTTTGGCTGGAGACATTCACACTAGTGGCCTGCTGGAGGTCATTTTGTAGGGCTCTGGCAGTGCTCATCCTGTTCCTCCTTGCACAAAGGAGCAGATACCGGTCCTGCTGATGGGTTAAGGACCTTCTATGGCCCTGTTCAGTTCTTCTAGAGTAACTGCCTATCTCCTGGAATCTCCTCCATGCTCTTGGGACTGTGCTGGGAGACACAGCAAACCTTCTGGCAATGACACATTGATGTGCTGTCCTGGAGGAGTGGTCTGTTCAACCTCTGTAGGGTTCAGGTATCGCCTCATGGTACCAGTAGTGACACTGACCCAAGACAAATGCAAAACTAGTGAAAAACAGTCACAAAAGATGAGTAGAGAAAAAAATGTCAGTGGCCTCCTGTAAAACCATTCCTGTTTTGGGGGTCTTCTCATTGTTGCCCATCTAGTGCACCTGTTAAATTTCATTAACACCAAAGCAGCTGAAACTGATTAACAACCCCCTCTGCTACTTAACTGACCAGATCAATACCCCAGGAGTTTAATTGACGTGATGCTGTACTCTGCTCAAAACAATTAAAAGGAACACTTCTTAATCAGTGTGTATGTATTTTTTTTTCCCCTCACTAGGGTAAATTTCTTCCAAAGCCTTAAAAATACACAGGTCAGTTTATCCCAAAGAAAGTGATCACATTACGAGCAGTCATTTTCAGGCCTCGGACAAGTATTCTCTGATCAAACAGGTCAGGATTTTGCTTACCCTGCGATCTCCAGCTGTGATATTCTGTAGCGCTCCTGCTGCTGCCTCTGTTGTGTGTCTGTTCAGTTCACATTGCTGCAGTAGTCGGTTGTATAAATGGACAATCTGTGGATGCCACAACCATTCCATCCCCTTCGGATCCTTTGAGATCTCTGCAAAGGTGGCAAGGTCTGTGCCCTGCTGCTGCTTGGAGAAAGAGCGTGGTACAGTGTGAGTTTGGGAATAAGCAACAGAGATCTCCTGTGTGGTTGACTTTTAAAAAAGGACCAAGTCACCCAAAAGTGCTAATTCAGCTATAGCTGGAAAATGGTGGACAGAGTCAGCCTCCGGCTTCCTATAGGTCTCGGATACACCAATAGCCGGTCCTAACAGTTACCACCTATGACCACAAGGCTCAAACACTGACCCAAGGAAGACCTTACTGTACTTAGAGAGATCCTGTCACCAGATCATTCATTTCAACAAAGATCTTCTTATAAAAGTTTAGGTGTATTTAAAGGAAAACTAAACTTCCCTTCCTTTCGATGGTCTTGTCCCTAGTCGATATCTTCGGTTGTGTGTAGGTCTTGAACATCTACAACATTGGCCAGCGGGGGATGACACCACGCCTATGCATGTGCCTCTGAAGCCTGATCCACATTAGGATCGTGCTCCAGAGGCTACTGACGGGCGGTGAGGTATCAATGCAATGCCTCCTGATACCCTGTTTTAACTCCATTTCTACCAAAAATCGCACTGCAGCCGTGTGCATTGCACGTGTCTGCGGGGCTTCCCCATTGACTTGCATGCGTAGCATTTGGCGGGCTTGCTGCCAGCCAAATGATCCATGTTAGGTCAACACTGCCGCAGCCATGAAGCGGAGCTTCGCGGACATGGCGTGAAAACATCCCTGTTAGCTGCCTATTGCAGCTTAAGGGGGGGGGGGGAGGTAGAGGTTAGCAGGCAGCAAAAGCATGGCTCAACTGCACATTTTTGCTGCCCTCCAAACGCTAGTCTAAATGAGGTCTAAATGCAGAAGTATGGCCAAAGCTCTTCAATGAACCGAGAAGAGGCAGAGCAGTCCCGAGAACTGAGCGATCAGTGGTCTTTCATTGCTCAGCTCTCAGTGAAGAGGCAGTGGGGGGCAGCTGCAGCATTGTATTGATGCTGCAGCCTTCTAGGTGAGTACTTCGGTTTTTTTTGTTTTGTTTTTTTTTTTAATTCCCACACTTCTCCTAATATTTTATGCATGTTAATTACCTTAAAATTCCTATAAAAAATATGTGGGGTCTTGCGAGCTACTATGGTGCCAAAAAGTATTATATTAACTAATAAAGTGTTGTGAAATAATATAGCAATTAAATTGTAAGAGTAGATCGCCTAAACGTCACACATACCCATACTAATGTGTTATAACAAATCAGAAATAAAATGATAGTGTTGTGCTGCTCCACTGACAAGTGAATAATTCCTAAAACAATATTAATATCCAAAAAAATTATTTTGTATCCAAATACAGTATCACGTTTCCAAGACTAAGTGTCGATATACAATCCGTGACTTCACACTCTTTCTGGTGATGCAGACAAAACGATTTGTGTTCAATTCACCACTATTACGTAGTTCTAACAACCATATGTGCACCTTCACCGGCTGTGCGCTCAACCGGTAAATATGGACTTAAGACTGGATAGGATTGTCATTCTTCAAAGTTGGGGATCCCCTCACTTCCTTAAGCCTCTTCCTCCATAGGCATATACGCCATAAAAAGAGTAATAAAAACATAGTGCCTTATCTTCTTTTAAAACATGTATTAAACATATAGTATTGCACTCACATGTAAATGCTGATAAAATTGCCTTAAAATGAATCCACAGTGTGTGTTAGCATTCAGTACTGTATAATTGCTGTGTATTGCCTGTTTCCTTGAGCGTCGTGACATCAGAACCCCTCCCCTACACTTTGCGCCACCGGGTCACGTGGCTTCATCAGGGGAAATGATTAAAAGAAGATAAGGCACTATGTTTTTATTACTCTTTATGGCATATATACCTATGGAAGAAGAGTCTTACGGAAGTGAGGGGATCCCCAACTTTGAAGAGTGACAATCCCATCCAGTCCCAAGTCCAATTTAAAAGGGACACAAGCCATACATGACCTCACTTAACGGTTTGGTCATATTTACCAGGTGAGAGCACAGTCTGTGAAGGTGCACATATGATTGTTACAATTACGTAATCGTGGTGAATTGAACACAAAATCATTATGTCTGCATCACCAGTGGAAACTCACAGATTGAATATGGACACTTAGTCTTAAAAAAGTGATACTGTATTTGGATACAAAATAATTTTTTTGGATATCAATATTATTTTTGAACTATTTATTCACTTGTCAGTGGAGCACGACACTATCATTTTATTTCTGATTCCTTAAAATTCCTCCCTTGTGTGGATATCCAAAAGCCCTGCTAGGCACCATCATCTTGGATGTGATGTCAGCAGCCCCAGAATACTCAGAGCTGCCACTCAAGTGAATCTATAGTATTCCTCTCTGCTCCTACCCTAGAAGCTACATGAGACATTATGTAGGAAGGTGAAGGGACGGGGTGCAGGAGCTGGGCCAGCACAGAGAGTAGTTAGACACTCTTGAAAGAGGAGAGGCTTACAACATGCAAGTGATTAAAACAGTTTGTAGATAGGAAAATACACTGCACATAAAGGATTTTAAATACTTGATATCTTCTATGCTTTTACCTGCAATGTTTAAGCTGGTGACAGAATATCTCAGCATAATTGTGTCCAATAGTTAATGGCTGTGAGATTTAAGAAATTACCTCTTTCAATTTGCGGCTTTGGGGGGTGAAACAACCCACAGCATCTCCTGCCGCAGTGCGTCCCCGCTGGGTTCCTTCCAGTCTTTGCAGAGAAGATGGTGGCAACTCATCATACAGCCGGTAGGACAGGTTTCTTAGCACACATACTGCATTTTCAACGCTCTAGAAAGGTATATAAAGTTGTATTTACTAAAAATGGACAACCCTTTGCATTAATCAACATGGTAAGACCAATAAAGCCTCATATTCATGCTCAGTTTGGGTCTAATTTGTGTTAAATACCTCTGTCTTGGAATTAAAATATTATGCAACTTATACCTGTCTGAGACAGCAACCATTCTAAAACAAAATTTCCTTTCTCTAGGACTACCCTGGAGGCAGCAGGGACTGTTAACCAAAGACAAGTACGTGTTCTGAGTGGAGGGGGATGAGTGACAGTCTAGCATGTTGATGGACAGGCAGCCTGCTGTTTAGGTGCTATATCTGCTTGAGCTTTAGAAGATTTTACCCCCTTCATGACCAGTCCATGTTTTGCTATTTAGCACTGCGCTACTTTAATTGGCAATTGCGCGGGTCATCCAATGCTGTACCCAAATGACATTTGTATAATTTGGGTTTTTTTTTTTTAACACAAATAGAGCTTTCATTTGGTGGTATTTGATCACCACTGGGTATTTAATTTTTTGCGATAAATTAAAAAAGTCAGAAAATTTTGAAAAAAACCAAACAAAAAAAACCCCCACAATTTTTTATTTTATTTATTACACACACACACACACACACACACACACACACACACACACACATATACATATACATACATATACATACATACACACACACACACACACACACACACACACACACACACACACCACACACACACACACACATATATATATACACATACACACAGCATGAGATTATATATATATATATATTTAATATCTCTATCATGCTGTGTGTATATATATATATATATATATATATATATATATATATATATATATATATATATAGTATATATATATATATATATATATATAATTTTTTTCTTTTTGATGGGACTGCAATAGTGCGGTGGGCAATCTTACACTGACACTGGGTGGAACTGACTAACTGCCACTAACATCACTAGTGATATCAATACAGTGATCAGTGGTAATACTGTAGGGAACTGTTATTTTATACACTAGTTGTGGTTTGTTTACATCCATATACAGCCACAACCATAGAGGTCCCATTACAGACAAGTCCCTGGGTGTGCTTCCTGCCCCTACAAGGAGGTCAGGAAACCCCAGGATGTTATATAGTTGTTTTCCAGGAAGTATCAGGCAGAGGGTTCCAGCCTGCCATGTGCTGTGTATCTGGGGAGAACTGTATGATGATTCTGTGAGTAATGATCCAGATTAACAAGGCTGCTATCTATTTAGTTGTTACTGAAGCAGATTAGGTCTGCCTCTGTTATATTTCAACTTCTGTATAGGAACCCTAATATCTCTGTAAGAGAGAGTTGTGGTTCATTATCATTATTCTATTTACACTGCAGAATCCTTATAGTTGTCTATATATATATATATATAGATCAGTGTTTTCACCTGCATAAGACTGTCAGGTGAACTTTCTATTGATTGCAGTGTATCTTTGCAGCCTCTTTGCTTGAAGAGCCTTATTGGTCTGGATCTCTTTTAGCTAGGATTAGCATAGGGAGTGTTGGATAAGATTAGGCTAGAGGTAGGTTAGGCATCTGGCGGCCACTTAGACAGATAGAGGCCCGGTTGCAGTGACAGCCCAGTTTAGGGATAGGGACTAAGAGTGAGGATAGATAGAGCATTTTATCCTTTTAGGTGATGCATCGCTGATCTTCAGACAAGCAGTGCAATCATCCGCATGTTACTTGGACACCATCACAGCATCTAAAGTGGAAGCGTGCATCTTATGGACTCTCACCTCTCCAGGGGCCCCTGCAACCGGACTGCGCTATAACCCATGGTTGGAGGTATTCTGTATACCACATGCACATATACCCGGGTATAATTGCAACCTCCCAATTTATGCTAAATTGTAATTCCTGAATGTTATTCTTATGCATCCTGTTTTATGTGGCTGCTTTATATAAACTTTGCATTAATCTCATACACAGGTGTGGTGACATGTTTTCATGTTAGAAATATACAGTAAGTTGGGTGCATTAATACTGCTATGTATAGTTACTTTAAGTTGTATACCTGTTACATTCCTAGAAAGGGGTGAGTCTCCTCAATTGCAGGATCCCTATTCTAGGTGGAGGCACTGCCATTTGTATTATCACAACCCCCCTCTTCCATATAGCGAAGGCTCAGGATTGCCTACTCATATACAGGTTAGCGCCATAGCTTGTTTGGTGTGGGTCATTTCACATAACCCCCCCCAAAACAGGGCTACAATACTATACACCATTATTGTACTAATGACACTGGTGGGGGAGGGGTTAATATCTAGGGCGATCAAGCAGTTAAATGTGTGCCTAATGAAGTGTAATATGTGTAGAGTGTGCTGCTTTTACCAAGAGATCTTTTTTTCTCATCCCTGCTTTACAGGGATGAGAAACAGAGAGATTGTTCCCGCTGTACAGAGCCCTGTGTTGATTGTCACAGCTGAACAGCAGGTCCAAGCCACGACTTGCTGACCAACACTCCCTGTGTACAATTAAAGCAGGTGTCAGCAGGGAGGCGTGCATACGCGCGCCCTCTACCTGGAATCAGGCAGCGTTGTACCAGTGCATCTCTGTCCCTGCAGAGGCCGCTCATCTGCAGTACAGTGCAGATATGATAAAAGACATACTCAGTAGCCACCAAAAAGTACGTACTGTGTGCTCACCCCCCCAGGCTAATAGCTCAGCAGTGAACGTTTTAAAGGCAGCCCTGAGCCGCAGAGGTACATTTGAATTAAAATAAAGTATTTTAGTAAATGTTTAACTGCGATCTCTAGTGAGTTAAAAGCATGACAATCCAAGGGAGCTCCTGGACCATTTTTTTTTTACAGTGCAAAGCACCACATTTGTGCCTTGCTGTGTATTGCACTGCAACAAATTTCCAATGGTAAAGTGGTTTGAATCCCAATCACGGCACCACGTGCCTGGAGTTTACATGTTCTCCCTTTGCCTGCGTGGGTTTACTCTGGGTACTCCGGTTTCCTCCCACACTCCAAAGACATGCTGTTAGGTTAATTGGCTCCTGTCTAAATTGGCCCTAGTATGTGTATGTATGAATGTAGGTTAGGGACCTTAGATTGTACGCCCTTTCAGGGTTAGGGACTGATGTGAATCTATAATATATATACATGTAAAGCGCTGCATAAATTTATGGTGCTATAGAAGTAAATGAAATAAATTAAAAAAAAATAAATAAATCAAGGTGCATTGTGGTACCATTTAAGTAAATTGTACCACACTGCATCAATGCATTCAAAGTGCATTACCAGGTGCTGTGTATAGCTTGTGGGAACACATATGTTAATGCAACATGGTGTGAACAGACCCTTACACCCTGGTCACACCGATCCAGACTTTCAGTGAAGTTGCAGGATTTCAAAGTCAGATGTCATGCCAATTTGAGGTGTGATTTGCAAGACATCTGGCACAGATGTCTATGCAAATCACACCAAAAGTAGTGCATGTACTACTTTAGAAATCTGAGCAGCTCCGACCAAGTCGGAACCGCACCGATATGACTGCTGTAAGTGCGAACAATAGGGTGCGACTTGGCATGAGATTTGCAAGTCGCATGGCATGCAAATTGCATGTCAAGTCGCACCCAGTGTGACCGGGGACTTAATCTTCATATATACTGTATATCATGCCAAAAAATGTGAACTGGCTTTTAAAGATCTCGATACCCCTTGTACCACAGAAACAAGGAAAAGAGGACTTGCTAAATTTGCACACTTGCTTATTAGCCACTTCTGGAGCACGGTCTTGTAACCCTTATGCTACAATAGACTAATGATATGGGCAAAACAGATTTTCTATTCCTAGATGTTGCATTTTTACAAGATATTTAAAAGGCTTTGTAACATGGTTGAATACAAGCATCAGTTATGTTTAGGGGAACATACAGGTGAAGCGTGAAAAATTCGAATATCGTGCAAAAGTTCATTTATTTCAGTAATGCAACTTAAAAGGTGAAACTAATATATGAGATAGACTCATTACATGCAAAGCAAGATAGTTCAAGCCGCGATTTGTCATAATTGTGATGATTATGGCTTACAGCTCATGAAAACCCCAAATCCACAATCTCAGAAAATTAGAATATTGTGAAAAGGTGCAATATTCTAGGCTCAAAGTGTCCCACTCTAATCAGCTAATTAAGCCATAACACCTGCAAAGGGTTCCTGAGCCTTTAAATGGTCTCTCAGTCGGGTTCAGTAGGAATCACAATCATGGGAAAGACTGCTGACCTGACAGTTGTGCAGAAAACCATCATTGACATCCTCCATAAGTAGGGAAAGCCTCAAAAGGTAATTGCAAAAGAAGTTGGATGTTCCCAAAGTGCTGTATCAAAGCACAATAATAGAAAGTTATGTGGAAGGGAAAAGTTTGGAAGAAAAAGGTGCACAATCAGCAGGGATGACCGCAGCCTGGAGAGGATTTCCAGGAAAAGGTCATTCAAAAAGTGTTGGGGACTTTCACAAGGAGCGGACTAAGGCTGGAATCAGTGCATCAAGAGCCACCACACACAGACGGATCCTGGACATGGGCTTCAAACGTCGTATTCCTCTTGTCAAGCCACTCCCGAACAACAAACATCAGAAGCGTCTTATCTGGGCTAAAGAAAGACAGACCTGGTCTGTTGCTCAGTGGTCCAAAGTCCTCTTTTATGATGAGAGCAACTTTTGCATCTCATTTGGAAACCAAGGACCCAGAGTATGGAGGAAGAATGGAGAGGCACACACTGCAAGATGCTCGAAGTCCAGTGTGAAGTTTCCACAGTCTGTGTTGATTTGGGGAGCCATGTGATCTGCTGGTGTTGGTCCACTGTGCTTCATTAAGTCCAGGGTCAATGCAGCCGTCTACCAGGAGATTTTGGAGCACTTCATGCTTCCTTCCGCAGACGAGCTGTATGGGGATGCTGACTTCATTTTCCAGCAGGACTTGGCACCTGCCCACACGGCCAAAAGCACCAAAACCTGGTTCAAGGACTGTGGGATTACTGTGCTTGATTGACCAGCAAACTCGCCTGACCTGAACCCCATAGAGAATCTATGGGGCATTGCCAAGAGAAAGATGAGACATGAGACAGAACAACGCAGAAGAGCTGAAGGCCGCTATTGAAGCATCCTGGTCTTCCATAACACCTCAGCAGTGCCACAGGCTGATAGCTTCCATGTCATTCCGCACTGAAGCATTAATTGCTGCAAAAGGGGCCCAAACCAAGTACTGAGTACATATGCATGCTTCTACTTTTCAGAGGTCCGATATTGTTCTATGTACAATCCTTGTTTTATTGATTGCATGTAATATTCTAATTTTCTGAGATTGTGGATTTGGGGTGTTCATGAGCTGTAAACCATAATCATCACAATTATGACAAATCACAGCTTGAACTATCTTGCTTTGCATGTAATGAGTCTATTTCATATATTAGTTTCACCTTTTAAGTTGCATTACTGAAATAAATGAACTTTTGCACGATATTCTAATTTTTCGAGTTTCACCTGTATGTGGAGGTTGCATGCAAATACAAAGTGAGCATTTTTCCAGGGCATAGCAGATTAGGTACTAAAGCCAAAAGTTTAAAGCTTTTCCATTTCATGCATAGAATTAAAAAAAAAAAACAGGTTTTGTTGCAAATCTTATTGCAAAAATTCTAAACACTGCACAAGCTTGCTTGAGCAATTGAATATATCCCAAAAGCACAGAATGCTAATGTGTCAGCAATGGATCATTACTGTATTTATCAATTACTGAACAGAATGTCAGGGCATTGCCTCAGTTCTGCGCTGTTCCAAAAGGGCCACTGGCGCTCAGATGCAATCCCAGTGAATGGGGTCATTCTTCATTGTGCTCCACAAGAGCCTAGATCAGAAGCCTGGGGTCAAGAAAATGCAGCCTGTTGCATTTTTGCGATTGCTTTGACACACAGAGCTTTAGCATTGCTTGGGATTTACATCCACCAAGGTGTGTTAAAAATGCACATTACCTGTAAAACTAGTGATAGCACCTCACCTTGTCCTCAGATTTGCCAGCTTGCAGAGCTTGGTTTGTGTATCCAACCAGGGCATCCACCAGCCCAGGACATTCTCGCATCTTTTGACGGGTCTCCTCACTGGCAGAACTCAGGTTCCTTTAGAAGAATACATAACATGGATTTGGCAAGTAATGCATTTTGTTCAAACCAGCTTACATTGAACAGTCCAGCCAATTTCATTCATACCTGAGAAATCCGGTGGCATTGTAAAATATCTCAGCCTCTGATGCATTCTGCTGGATGAGTGCAGATCCTGAAGATCCAGACAGTGGAACCAGCACTCTCTCGGTTAGTGGACCTAGAGTATCACGTGCCAATCTTGATTTTAGGTTATCACTGGAAGACAAGTTCCATAAAATTCCTGAAATAAAAAGGGGGAATTTTTCTTTTTTAAAGCAGCAAGGTATCATTGGATATGTAAAAAATTAAAGTAAACAGCAGGGAAGAAGCTTCTATGAATGAAACAAACAATCTATGAATAGAGGACAGATGGATAATGAAAAGGTCTTTTGCCTCCATTCATAGATGACTTTCTATTCATAGAAGCTGTAGTACAGGAGTAGCTTGGCAGAAAGGGATAGGCATAGTTGGGCACTCTTGGAAGACTACAGATGCGGGGGGGGGTATTTGCAGACTTACAGAGACAGCCAACAGAAGACGCATCAGCAAAAGGAACACATCCCACTCACTGAAGTTATGTCCATTGTGCTGATTTTTGTGTTTTTTTTATATTAACTGCACGTAGGCTTTAACCTCCCTAGCGGTCTGATTATGTCCATATTTCTGGGCTCAAAGCGGTACATTTTTTTGCATGGAAATATGTATTTTTTTTTATTGTAGGCCTGTAATTTTTAGGAATAACTCAATGAAATCCGTCCGAACAAGAGTCTAGTAAACATCCCGGGTATGTTAAAATTTGAAACATGAAATCATAAATTATAATTTAATAAATAATCATAAAAAAATAATAATATAATAATAAATTTAATTCAATAATATAATCAAACAAAAAACACTGAAATTTGAAATATAGCGCTAAGTTCGCACATCACTGAGCAAAGTCTCAAAATCGTTTTCAGTGTCTGATGACGAATTTCCCCACGAATCATTATCACTCAATTCTGCAAGTGGTTCTGATTTACTATCGCTGTTCTCTAGCTGGTCTAAAACGGCTTTTGACATAAAAGGGACGTTTTTTTTGGACGCCATGGACGTTTCTCAGTTTCCAGGCAGAAGAACAGTAATAATGCAGGCAGGGCACAGGACAAAGCACTCGGGACAAAATGTATGTGAAATGGTTTGATACAGGAATGTTATACTATGTGATTTTAGTGAATGACACTTTGTCATTTTCAAATTTCCCGCCGTTCCGTCCCCCCGTACGTCCCGAAGCTCGCAGGGGACGGAACCCAGATGACAGATGCCGGCATCAGCTGGATTACATTGCCGGGGACACTGCAGGAGGGACATCAAGGGAGCGTAGGACAAGATAAGTGAAGAACAGATCCCGGAGCAGCGCTGCAGGGTATTCCCGAGTGTAGCTCGGGGTTACCGCTTGTGGTGCTGAAACTTTACCCGGAGTTATACTCGGGAATACCGCCAGGGAGGTTAAGGAAGGTTTCCCTATGTAGCCATCCTGTATTTAGGCAATGTCTAGTAAATTTACCTTTCCTGGGTAGCAGTTTGCCTGGACAATTTGGGGCTTCTGATTTGGCTACTCCCTTATGTTCTAAAATTACTGCAGTACCCTACTGTTGCCACAAAGTATCACTGGCACTTAGGATCATAGCTCTGGGATAGCAGCAAATATTGTGCTATTGAGTCTTTAGGTCTCTTCTGGCTCCCACTAGTAGTTTCCTGCAGTGGTGCACATTGAGGGAGGCTATAACACCTTGGGGAATGGCCTGGTGAGCCTTTCCCTCTCCCCAGCTTCAGCCTGACGGGGATGTGTACAAGTGTTTGTGCTGTGTAGGCCCTACTTCTGTTTGGCCCAGCATAGGATTCTTCAAGCTGCCTGGTCAAGGAGGGTGTGCCTTCCAAGGCAGAAGAGTCCAAAGGATGTCTGTTGTAGGGAGATTTGTGTATGCCCTCAGGAGATCCTAGCACTCTATTGGAGTGATGGAATTTGGAAGGCCTTGTCACTACTAGGAGACCAAACCCTTACGCTCTGTTCCTGTGAAGCTAGAGCAATAAAACATGAAGACTGAAAGTGATTGACACCCTTCCTTGTTGTATCACACTCTCCACTGTGGCCATGGATCCAGCCTTGGAGGAGAGTCCATTCCTAAACCCTATGCAGAAAGGGTGCTATACTTATTATTCGTGGTTGTTGTACTTTATTATGTATATTGCTGTCAAATTTAGATACATTCTGCATTTAGGAGCCTGCATACAGTAAAGTTTTCAATTTCCCAAGCATCTAAAAATGATAATACCTTCAAACTTTGCAGCATCAGCCATTTAAAATACATTTCTTCTTTGCCCAAAACATGCAGCCTAACCTAACTAAAGACTACTGTGAATGATATGCAAATTTCAGCTTCTCTAAATTCAACAGCTAAGCCTCTCTCTTACTACTCTTCTGATGTGTGTGTGTGTGGGGCAGGGCCTACTTGCCCTGCACACAGAGGTGTAACTAGAACCTTCAGGGCCCCGCTGCAAGAAACCATCAAGGGCCCCACTGACCCCTGGCCAGGGCCCTTCCTTTCAAGTCCCAGGCAGAACACCAGGACCTGGTTGCAAATGCAACCTTTTCAACACTGGCAGTTCCTCCACTGGTCTTCGTATTTTTTTTTATTTTTGTCTTATTTTCTTTATTATTTTTTAAAACATTTTTCCACAATATTTATTTTTTTACAATTCTGTTTTTTTTTTCTTTTAGGAGCCCCATTGGGTGGCTTTAGTGAGATATCAGGGGCCTAAACAGACCTCTGATGTTCCACCACTGGGACAGAGAATGGAGATTGAGGACACAGGCCTCAGGTGCACAAAATGTATGGACAGGAGTAGCTTTGTACAGAGCTTTCCGTTCATAACTAAAGCATACTAAAGTGTGTTTACTATGCTTCAGTTTTTGAATAAATAGACAGTTAGTGATCGGTACGGATCACGGACTATTAATTCAGACAGGGAAGGGGCTGGTAAATTACATATTCACCGGCCCCTTTCCCGCACTCAATCCTGACAGCAGCCCCTGCAGCAGCGGGAAGGGGAGAGAGAGTGCTGCGGGGGAGCGAGAGGGAACCTGGAGAGAGCACAGGAGCCCGGAGAGAGAGCACAGGAGCCCGGAGAGAGAGCACAGGAGCCCGGAGAGAGAGCACAGGAGCCCGGAGAGAGAGCACAGGAGCCCAGAGAGAGAGCACAGGAGCCCAGAGAGAGAGCACAGGAGCCCGGAGAGAGAGAGGAGCCAGGAGCCCGGAGAGAGAGCACAGGAGCCCGGAGAGAGAGCACAGGAGCCCAGAGAGAGAGCACAGGAGCCCAGAGAGAGAGCACAGGAGCCCGGAGAGAGAGCACAGGAGCCCAGAGAGAGAGACACAGGAGGGAGAGAGAACAGGGGCAGGGGAGAGAGAACATGGGGCAGGAGAGAGAGCACAGGAGAGAGAGCACAGAGCCCAAAAAAACACAGGAGTGGGACTCCCAGTGCCTTTTTAATAGCATCATGGGCCCCTGGGCAAAGTAATGCACAACCAGGGAGATAGTGACCTGCAGCGTGCATAGCGCACCACAAACAAAAAGTGGATCTGGCTAAATTATGATACATCTTCAGTGTGGCTTTTTAGTCTAATTAAAAACAACAAAACACAACCAGGGAATTCTCACAAATTAAATTCACCCCCTGTACTCACTGTCCCACTTTCTCCAGACACTGCACCTCTGTTCCCCTCTACCCACTGCTCTTGCTACTTTTTTTTTTTACACTATCCCCCTCCCTGTACACACTGAACCCCTGTCCTAAATTACTCTCCCATCTCATCAGCAGCCTGTACATATGTATGCCTGCACACAGTACGGGGTGGGTAGGCACAGTATGGGGAGAGCAGAAGGGCACAGTACAAGGAAGGCCAGGAGTGCACAGTATGTGGTGGGTAGGAGAGCATAATACTGGGAAGGTCAGGAAGGCACAATACTAAGCAGGCAGGAGGACCCAGTACAGGGAAGGGCAGGAGGAGACAGTATGTGTTGGGTAGGAGAGCACAGTACAGGGGTGGGCATAGTGCACAGTAGATGGTGGGTAGGAAAGCACAGTACAGGGGTGGGAAAGAGGGCACCGTATAGGGTGCAGCAACCATTTTTTTTTTTTTTTTTTACACTATCCCCCTCTCTGTACACACTGAACCCCTGTCATAAATGACTCCCACCTTATCAGCAGCCTGTACATATGTATGCCTGCACACAGTATGGGTGGAAAGGCACAGTACGAGGAAAATTAGAAGGGCACAATATACGGTGGGTAGGAGGGCACAGTGCGGGAAAGGTCAGGAGGGCACAGTATGTTGTGGGTAGGAGGGCACAGTATGGGGAAGGTCAAGAGGGCACAGTATGTGGTGGGTAGGAGGGCACAATACGGGGAAGCCAGGAGGGCACAGTATAGGGGAAGGTCAGGAGGGCACAGTATGTTGGGAAGGTAGGAGGGCACAGTACGGGGAAGGTCAGGAGGGCACAGTATGTGGGGGTAGGAGGGCACAATACGGGGAAGGCCAGGAGGGTACAATACGGGGAAGGCCAGGAGAGTACAGTACGGAGCAGGCAGGAGGGCACAGTACGGAGAAGGGCAGGAGGACATAGTATGTCGTGGGTAAGAGCACAGTACGAGGGTGGGCAGGAGGGCATAGTATGTGGTGGGTAGGAGAGCACAGTACAGGGGCAGACAGGAATGCACTGTATAGGGTGCAGCAATGTATAATACAGTACTGTTCTGACAAAAAAGAACTGCTATGTACACATATACAACTCTCCTCCACTGCTGATCTTATCCCAAGGGAGCATTCTATCAGGAAACGTGTTAGGAATGCAGAGCTCTGTGACCTGGAAAGGGCACAGAGTCAAGCTTACCGTGACCATCAGAACAACTGTGTGCAGCTTCAGGTGCTCTGCTCTCATGCTTCTGGTGGGGGGGGGGGGGGGGGGGGGGGGGGGGGGGGGGGGGGGGGGGGGGGACAATAACACATACACGCTGCTTCGTTCTGTCTCTCCACCACTCAGCCCACCTGGTGTAGCACTAAGAGCCACAGGGGGAAACTTCAGAGCCCCCCATGCACCTAGGGTCCCTGGGTAGTGCCCAGAGAGGTGCCCGTGTGTGTTAGGACAGTCCAGGGGAGGAAAAAGCATAGGAGCCAGGGGGCAGCAGAAGGAAACTGGATAAGAGGGGTGACAGCATCTGCTAAATGCCAGCAGGAGGGAGAGAAGAGAAGCAGGCATTCAGTGGCTGCAGAAGAGAAAGGGACAGATGGGTACCGCTATGGAGCATGGGGCCAGGTCGCAACTGCAACCCCTGTAGCTATGCCCCTACCTGCACATTGGACCTCCTCTCCCTTTGGGGTACGCACTCACTAATGCCTAGGACCAGGCCGGGCCACGTTCATGTGTACTCAACATTAAAGCGGCACTCTGTATTAGAAGTGAGCCGTACACCTGGTGGAGTTGTACCATACTTGAGGCTCCATAATGTGAACCACTCTGTCCCATGATACTGAACACCTTTCCCTTGGAATGTAGCCTTTAGACCGCTGAGCTTGTGTTCCACTCACAAGTCCAACTTTCCTATCACCTCACTCCCAGTGATAAACTACAGGTTTTTCCAAACACAACTCGAACCTCCTGTGTGCATGTCTTACTCCATTAACCCTTCCCGTACCTGTAGCTTGGTCCCTGGGGTCTCCACCACACAGCTTGCTGGGGCACCAACCGCTAGGAAGGGAATCAGAGAACCAATCACCTTACTATACATAGAACCCGTTACCTTTGCAGGTACTGTCCTCCTCCCGCTGCCTGGCTGCCATCACATTCCCTTGTATTTGTTGGCTTTAGTAATTACATGTCCTCCTCTTTACCCTGAGTGTATGACAGGCCTTGTTCTTTGTCATACACCATCATGCACCCCTTTGCAGTAACCTTAGACCAGGCAATGAACAGTTAATAAAACTTACTGATCATCTTAGAAGCACAGTCCAGCAACATAAAGAACAACAGGTCTCTCCCTAACTATCTAGATGCAGGCTGCCCAGTGCATACATTCCCCACAGTCCTCAGAGTCCACAATTCTGCAGTGTCCCGGGCTCCAGGTGTGTTCCCCTTGGGGACACTGTTGAATTATTCTGGGCTACTCAGTACAGCCAGCCATCCCCTGTGATCCCATGCGAGGCTTCTCTCTCATCTGCTTGGCCCTCCCCCTTGTACGGGCAAAGCATAGGGGACAGAGACTACAAAAGCCCGAGAAAGATCTGAGTTACAGTTAACTCCTTTCCAACCTGGGCAGCTTGTGACTCACTGTTTTCACAAACAATGCAGGTAACACAGAAGCCCACAGTACAGACAGGGCTAAAATACCCAGACACCCTATAAGCACCTGCCTACATGTGCAGAGAGCAGTTAGGGCCAGGGAAACCTATAAGTAGGCAAGGTAGTAAACTCAGGTGTAGCTGGCTGCAATGAGAAAGAGGCAACCCAAATAACATCCCCAAACAACCCCACTGTAGCAACGCCCCTGCAAACTTCTGAATCTGGGTACACACTAGACCTGTGCATTTAGTTTTGTTCCAAATTTGGATGCATTTGAATTAAAATAGTAATTAATTTAAATGAACCCGAAATAACAACACAAAATTGTGTCTGAAATTCTAATCCAATTTGAATCGAATTTGAAAACGTTAATCGAAAACAAATTTGAAATAAGCATATTATTGACTATTGTGGATTTCCTTCAAAAGACTATGACCGGCCCTAGACAAGTCAAAAAACAAACAAAAATTTGTTGTTGATCATCAAATTGTTCGTTTGCTGGTTCTTTTTGGAAAATCAAAACAATTGTTGGCACAATCATATGAGCTATTTTCGTTTTTCAATTGACAGAACTTTTGTTTTTTCGACTTGTCTATGGCCTGCCTACATGTATTAGTATTAGAATAGAGCAGTCTTGCAAAATTCAAATTTAGAAAAAAAATAGAATAAAACAGAAAAGAATAGAGTAAAACTGAGCAGAATAAAAAGGAAAATAAAAGAATAGAATAAAATAGAATAGAAAATAAGGGAATAGATAGGGAAAAAAATGAAACAGAAAATAATAGCATAGTAAATAATTGAATAGAACAAAACAGAAAGAATAAGAAACAGCCTTCCAAAATTAGTATTTTGAATAGAGTAGAACCAGCTATTCTTCACAATGAATTTGGATTGATTTGATTCAAATACTTAGAATCTATTGGAAAAATCTGAATCCAGATCAAAACGAATAAACTAAACAAATTTTTATTACGAACGTAATGAAACGAAATTAGTAACTTAATGAATCGATCAAAATATTAAACTAATTTTTTTGACGATTGAGATGGCATCCATCTGCAATCCAGCAGAGGGCAGCCGCGCTGTACCTGCTACAGACAGTCCAGGCAGCTTTTACCCTTTCTCCCAGTGCAGTAGGAGGAAAGGATGGTGGAATCAAAGTCTGCAGACAAGTTTTGGTAACATGGTTGTTTAGGTACAGTGATGATTCAGTCTAGTCTACACAGACATGTTTCTGGCTGAGTCATTTATTTTCTTAAGTTGTCCATACATGGAGTGACTTTAAAGCAGGTTCCTGATGACCTGGATGAAATTTAAGGCCATGTCAATCTAAAAATTGGAGGAAATGTGTTGGCTGAGCAGCAGCTGCATCCAATCAGATGCAAACACGGTTTGGGTATCCTGACAAGTGCAGGTGTAAGCCGTCTGAATAAAATAGCCGACAAGGAAGATTTCTCCATCCACACCATTTAGCATGGATGGAAAAAATCAAGTGTATTGTTGCTGTATTGTCTCCCACAGGGGCGGACTGACAACTCATGGGGCCCCGGGCAATAGGGGATAATGGGGCCCCTGTGTCCTTACCCAAACTCAAAAAAGCCTATGAAAAAGGTACCAGGGGCATCTCATGGGGCCCCCTACTGACCCCGGGCCCTCGGGCAGTGCCCGAGTTTCCAAATGGTCAGTCCGCCCCTGGTCTCCCGTTATATTGTAAAGCGCTGAGCAAACTATTGGCGCTATATAAATCCTGTATAATAATAAGTGATGTCTTTTTAGGTTTACTGGTGTTTGTTACGGTCTGTTTTTGTATAATTGACTCATTGGTTCTAGAGCACCTTGTCCCACCACTGAGCAGTGACATACGAGTTATCACAATGAACAGAAGTGTTCCTGACCTGGAGGTTGTGAATGACAACTTCGCCTTCTCTATGTTGTTCAATACATAAGATAGTGGTACCCAACGATGAGTGGGAAGAACTGTTTAATCACAATTTATTCTGCTGCTTTAGGCCTCATGTGCACTGCTGCTCCTAAGCATGATCTTTTGCCATTTCTGCCAAAGCCTTAAAATTCAGCTCAATAAAAGCATATGTATCCATGCATACGTACAGACTTTCAGAATTTAGCAGCAGCAGCGTTTAGGGGCAGTTAAAAGTAGAAGAATCGCGTTAAGAAGAGGAATGTTTTGGCGTAATCGCATGTAAACGCACCTTAATGCTAGCCATATTTAGAGCTTGGGCGTTTATGTCAGTGGAAAATACCATAGCCAATAAAATGAATAAACGTCCAAGCGCTAAACACGATACTGCGTTTACACACGTTTTTGCCGCGTTTAGCATTTTTTAGCTGCCAGGAGAGCTTGGCGTCCAAGGGAGTTTAGTGTACATGTAGCCCTACGTGGAGCATGATAAATGCTTTGTAACAGGTTCTAAAAAGAAAAGACAAAGAGTACCTGTTACATTCTTTCGAAGTTCATCATCTTGTTCTTTAAGTGACACTAGAAGCTCAAAAATGCCATTTTCCTCCACCAGTGCCATCTTGTTCTCAGGGCTGTCGTAGATCAGATTGCGCATTGCTCCTGTGGCATGGCGCTGCACCTCTTGGCTGGAGTGATTGAATAATTTCACCAGCTTCGGAATGGCCTGCAAACTTCGAGCCTAAACAAAGCACACAATATAAAGTGGACGTTCGTATAATCAGCCATGGCGGGTTTAAAGCCATTTTGTCTTCACACTAATTATACTGAAAATTGCCAAGAGTAAACACTCACTTGTTTCTTAGCTTCTGAATCACTATAACAGCGGTGCTGTATATAGGCTGCTCCTAGCACCTGGAGATTGGCATCAGATGCCATTAAATATTTCACAGCTGCTGGCATATCTATGTCGTCAAACCTGAAATGGAACGCAAAATAATTTGATTAGCTCCTGCCAAGTGTTATACACCCCCATGCTTTGTCGTCAAGTACAGGAAAACAACCCAGCTTGATTTTGAAAGCTAGACCTACCAATCAGATCCCAGCAATGACTAGCGGGTTACAGAATGAGAGCTAAAACTATAATTTGCTGCAACATTACTAGATGGGTCTTTGGAGGTCTTCTAAAGTTCACACATACCTCCTTGTGTAGGTTTTCCCTACTGCTGTTGGAGTGGTTTAACATTTGTTAAATCAATACTTCATTTTCAGATATATGTTAATAATAAAAGTACTCAGAACCATTTACTTGTGTACTGGAATACATACCATGCATCGCATGCACTCAATTTATTAGAACCCCCTGTCCATCCAGTGAACTGCTAGGGCTCATATGCATGACAATGGTAGAATATATGACTTCCACCCTAACCAAGCCTGCTAGGTCATACCCTCCACCATCCCAGCTATACAAAATATGCAAACAAGTTTCTGGAGTCAAAATGGCAATGGCAGCCTTTTATTAACCAATAAATTATTTTAACATAGAAAACATAACATACCAAATTATAACAGATGAAAACGTGGTGGTCATTTGAGAGCCATAAACCCACATCACTTTTGCAGAAAACATTCCTTCAACTTAGGCCCCCAGCTGCAACCCACTGGCTCAGGGACAATCCTACTTATCCCCAGCCGCAACACACCAGCTCGAGGATAACCCTACTTATCCGCAGTGACCACCATTTTACCTATTTAACAAGGGGTTAACTGGAAAGTACCAAGGTCCCCATACCACTGATGGGTCCCAAATCTGTCTCCATACAGAATTCTTTCCTCCTCCAAAGACAAACCACTGCCAAGGCCTCCGTGATAATCCAAACCAAAGCACGAAGGGGAGGGAGGTTGGAAGCTTCTTCTTCCAAACTTCCCTCACTGGACTTCCTGAGGACAGACCTTCCTTTTTCATGCAAAACTCCACGTAATCCCAAGGGGTTCACATACTTTTTCTTGTAACTGTATGCGAGACTAAAGTCAGCTCAGTTATAGCAAAGTACAGAACAATGCTGTTGTGTGTACTAAAACCTGAAAGCCTGGTAAAAATTCAGCAATAAACCAAAGCGAACATTGCTCCAGAAGATTCCAGTCCAAATTCAAACCTTGTACTCTAAATCTTTCTAAATGATTAAAAAAATCTCCCCCCCCCAAAAAAGAAAAAAGAAAAAAAAAAAAAAAACAAAAAAGGAAGAAGAATACCAAACACACGAAGAACCTTTCCTACACCATTCTCTTTGATTTTACTCCTTTGGCATGCGGTGATTGTAGCAATATTAGCGTAAACAATTGAGTACTGCCCATGATGTTTTTTTCCATTTGCGTTAACATACAATTTTTCAGGACAAGCTTTTGGGGTGGACCCCCTTCTTCAAGGTCCAAGCAGTACTAATGCCTTAGCCAAACAATGCTTTGTTTCAAACTTATACATTGTGTTCTAACATATAATTAGTTGCAAACCAACTACTTGCTGCATGTGTAAATCTGTATCAAATCTCACTAACACAGAACAAAAACAACATAAAAAAAAAGCAAACCAAACCAATCTGAAGCCTTTATGATTTGGAATCTTAAACCAACTGCAGAACACATCTAATGTAATCTAAACCATGGGATTAAACTGAGAAATACAGAGTCATGCACACAATGCTTCACACCACACGTTCATAGCATTCAATAGTTGTAGCCTACACTACTGATGATCCATTGAACAAACGTTAGCCAATAAAAATTACAATTAATTGTGATGTTTTGGGGCAGATCAAGGTTTCCTCCTTGAAACCCTTTAGTGTGTTACCACATATAGGTTAAGCTTGAGTCAGTTGACAGCTACTATATACTTATGCATTGAGGGGTCATTAAAATAATTGGCACCAAATTGCATACCTTTTACTGCATGTTACTATAATGCACAGATCTGAAGGGAACCTAGGCATGCAATTCTGATACTGGACATAATACACTGTACTGTGTGCTGTTCTTTGTAGAAGAATATTATAGCGCTATCACTTAAAAACCCAAGTTTAGTTAGATAAAAAAAAAAATAATCCACACAAGGGATGGTACTTTATTGCATGAAAATTGTCCCTTCCGGTTGTGGGCCGTTCTTGGTAAAAAAAAAAAAAAAAAAACAAACTTCCATCCTCTGCTACTCCTGTACCCCTGAAGCGGTAATCTTCCAGTGCTGTGGGGGTTAACAAGACCACTAGGCCTGTCCTAAGCACTTGCCAAGAGTGCCAACTATTCCCGCCCTTTCTGCCCCTCCTCCATTCATAGAAGCTGTACTACAGCTTACAGCAATGAAGAATGCTTTATGAATGAAGGAGGTGGACCTTTCATTCATCTACCCATCCTCCATTTATAAACTGCTTTTCAATGCTGGAAGCTTTAGTGTAGCTTCCATGAATGGAGGAGGGTGGTAGAAAGAAGGGCATAGTTGGAATTCTTGACAAGTGACTATAAAGGGCTCGTTCACACTTGACTTTATTTCTAACTCTTGCCAAATGCTCCTATAGTTAGACAGGCGTTTGGGGAGCATTTGAGGAGTGTTAAAAACACTTCCCAAATGCCCCAAGAATGGTTTTGAGGCGGTTGATAGGGGTTTGCCAAGCACTAAAACCGCATCACAAAACGCCTGTAATAACGTTAAATGGTATTAATGCTCCGCAACCGCCTCACAACCGCACCGCAAATGCCTGCCAGGCATTTGCAGAGCGGCACCATAGAGTTGAATGGGAGGCTTCAAATCCTCCTTACTGGACACGAGGAGTCAGTTTTGCCGCGACGCTAACGCTTTACTGTGAACAGTACTGTGTGCTGCCATGTGCAGAATTTTCATAGGCGTTAAAAACACTTCCCAAACGCCTGTCTGATGCCTGCTGACAAAGATAGTGTGAGCTGAGCCTAACAGGTCCAGAGGTTCGTATTACCCACCCCAGCACAGGCAGACTACTGCAGGTGGGGTAGCAGAGGGCTGAAGATTTCAATGAAAAGAGCATCCACTACCACAAGGAACACTTCTCATTCATTCAATTTATGTACCATCCCTTTTGACGTTTAAAAAATAAAAGATATAATATGAAATAAAAACGTAATACTTTCTAAATGCTAAATCACCAGCTGATAAAACATAAAAGTTCTTTCATGCAATATGTTCTTAGGCTTTGCAATATTTAAAGGGTTAAAAAGGGCAATTTTACTGAAAGCGATATTTTAGCCGTAATATGCCATTTCATTTCCTGGCTTTGCATGCACACTGGATGTTTTTTTTTTTAGCTACTCCTAGAGGCATCTTGCATTTTTTTCTGCCTCTAAATGTCCCTGCATGTTAGCCTATGTGTCCATGCACACATGTGCTGTTACAGTAGTATAAAGTCAGAACAAAAAAAACACTGCCAGTACTTCCAGGAGCAGCGTTTTGGCAGGGAAAAAAAAAAAAAAACACCTTTGTTGCCTGTTAAGGTCTACATGCACGTTAACACTAGGATCGTTTAACACTTCAGTGTTAATTCATTTTAATAGCCAGAATAAATTACTTTTGCTGTCATCCTCCGGACTTTGTACATTTGTGAAGAGGTGCAGCATGGTGCGGGCAGTAAATACATAGTGGCAATATACTGTATACTGAAAGGTAACTTCACAACTTAAAAACAAGTAGGATCCTGTAAATAAAGATTAGTTCAATAAAAAGGGTCAAACACAATTCCACACTTCCAAAAAGGTGGATAATTGGTAGCAGCAGCTCAGAAACACCTTAACAGGCACTGCTATTCCAGGTCATGTAACCAAATGCCTGGACGAGTTTGTGGAACTTAGCACATATTAGGTTCAGGGGCGGACTGACAACTCATGGGGCCCCCGGGCAATAGGGGATCATGGGGCCCCTTTGTCCTCGCCCACACCCAATAAAGCCTATGAAAAAGCCAATGAAAGGTACCAGGGGCATCTCATGGGGCCCCCTACTGACCCCGGGCCCTCGGGCAGTGCCCGAGCGCTTGAATGGTCAGTCCGCCCCTGATTAGGTTAGAACATAGGACGTATTTTCCATGTTTGTGAGCAAATGCAGCTGCCATAGACATTGCTGGAAGCAGGGTTTTATTCAGTGGGAAGGGGATCTATTTTTGCATGATGGTCTGTTGTTGCTGGGAAGGTCTATTGTTGCTGGAGATGGATCTATTGGTACTGGGAGGTCAGTTGTTGCCGGAAGGGATCTACTGTTGAGGGAGCAGTCTATTGTTGCTTGCTGATGGGAGATCTGTTGTTGCTGTTGGGGTCTATTGTTGCTGGGTTGGTATTTTGTTGTGAAAGTCTATTGTTGCTGGCTGCAGGGGAAATAATTTACTACTTTTCCCATTATTCTTGAACAAATTCCTTACAAAATGATACTTGGCTCTGTATTCTCTTTAGGGAGCCATACTGAGAGATGGCTAGGGGGTGGAACCAAGGGACGGTGCTCGGAGGTGGGTAGGGGAGCAGAAACAAGGGGTGGCTCAGAAGGGTGGAGCTCCTGCACCTATTCTCTGAGGAAAAAAAGCCCTGGCTGGAAGTAATCACTGAAAGCAAATCAATTTAAGAGAAGTGTACTCCGGGTAGCAGACTGGTACACCAAGGGTCATTTCCCTCCAGGCTCAAGCTGTATACAATAAAGGGCCAAAGGTTTGAAGACTACTGGCCATCATAGATGTGTGAGTTAGTTGGACATTACATTCCAAAACCATAAGCAGCGAGTTGTGTAACGCTACCACAACTACAATAAAAGCCTTTACTCTTCTGGGAGGAATTTCCTCAAACATTTAGTGTGTCTGTAAGAACTTTTGCCCATTCAGCCAAAAAGTCATGTCAGTAAGGTTGAGCTCAGGGCTTTGGGCAAGTCATTGGAGTTGTTCCACACCATGTTTTTACAGACCAGTTGCTGTGCACAGGGGCACAGTTGTGCTGAAACAGAAAAATTGTCTTCCCCCAAACTAATGCCACATAGCTAGAAGCACAGAATAGATTTAACAGTACCCCTTCAATGAAAACACTTGAACTCAATAATTCGGAGGGGTGTCCACATATGTATGGCCATATAAATTTAGGCAAAATGTCCAGATGTTCACAAACTTTTGACTGTATAGTGTATATATCTGTCTCTGACAATACTGTTACTGGTTTAAAGGTTTTAGCAGGTTTGACAGCAAAACAAAACACTGATGTCCTGGCAACATTTTGTTTCATTTACAAAGTCAGATTGTGCATTTTAAAAGTGTTACTAAACCCAATACCCTGCATTCACTATATCTGGTCTCTCAGTACACAGAACATGGAAATGCAATTATTTTAGTAAATATAAACTGCCAAATACTTTTTCTCATCAGCAGTTACAGCAGTCTTGTGACTATCAGTGTCCAGCCCAGCACATGTTAAAGCTTGTAGGAGGAGTTTTCTTTCTGTTCTAGGAGGATGCAGAACTCCTGACCTCTGTCTGGACAGTGCCAATTGGCCCTGTACCGATCACATGCACTCTCCCAAGAAAAAAAAAAAAAACCTATCTAGCAATACATACCAAACTGAGCATGTGCACAGTGACTCCACAAGCTATGTCTTATCAGAAGATAAGAGGGGGACACTGGAAGAATGAGAGGATCAGAGAAGTCAGGATCAAAACAGCCTTTTTAGACAATGCAGAGGATTAACCCCTTAGGTTCCACAGTGAGTAGAACAAGCATGTTTTACTGCATATACAGACTGATTTTACTGTTGTGGGTTTAGTAACACTAAGTAATCAAACTGATAAATGCATAAAAGGAAAAGAGACACAACTCACCATGCAGAATAACATACAATATTAATCACAAGATACATTTAGAAAGCACCACAGTTAAAGTATCTATGAACCCTCACCTTCTAAAACAACCCATTCAATTTAAAATAGAAATTAAAGAATAATGCATATAATTAAAAAAAACCATAAATACCTTTTTATTTATTTTTAATAAAAAAAGTTATCAGCTGCATAGAGGGCTTAGAGAGCTGGGTGTGGAGACTGGTGGGGAAAACATGTCAGCAAGAGGCCAAGAACAGCAGCATGATTTTTCTAGTAAATTGCTTTGCAGGAGGACATTTCAGTACAAGTCTGATCATTGGGGGACAGGCAGGCTGTGCTCTCAGCACGGACAGAAAACTGGCCATGCTGGGAGGGATGTACTTCCATGTCTAAAATGGTCAGTTTGAAGCAGGAAAGCAAAGGGACTGTCAGGATCCCCAGGTATTTTACACAGAGAAAGCAATGCAAAGAGAACAGGATTCTTTTCAACATATAGTAAGTACATGGTGCAACGGACACATATCAGCAATAGGAAATGTCAGGGTAACAAACACTTTAAACTGGCTTTACAGTAGTTGATTTTTGATTAAACATTTGTATGAACATTCATAGGAAAATGTGTCCCAAAATTCTCATTTCAGGGTTGAGGACTTGAAGATTGTCATGTAGCACTTTAAAATTCTGTTTAGTTTTACCATTAGATTTTGGAATGGACGGACATTACCAATTAAAAAACGCATACATGGCTAGAAATTTGTTAGAAAAAAAAAACAAACATTCTGTTCCTTTGAATTTTCTCATCATTAAGTTTCAAAACAAACATTGATTTGACCCCACTAGTGATTAGAAACTTGAAGGAACCTTTTTTAAAGCCAAAAATTTTTATTGAAATTGTACTAGTGTATGCCCAGCATTACAAAGGCCAGGTTACTTATATTCTCTCCCTGTGAATTAAAAAAAAAAAAAAAAAAAAAAAAAAAAAAATAAAAAATCGGTATCCAAAATGATTCACTGTATATAATAAAATAAAACAAACTGTGTAATGACACTTAAAGGTCCCACTTTCACCCTTGAAAGTCCAAAAATTATTATATAAACCTTTCTAGTGTCCGTGAAATATCCAAAAATCCACAAAAATCCACAAAACTCAAAGTCCAAAAAAAAAAATCTGATTTAAATTCATCGTGTGACTCCAAAATTGCCGTGTACCTCCAAACAAAGGAAAACTGGATAGTGTATTATCTTCAATAAAACAAACAATAATTAAATCATATAATTAATAAATCCAAAAGAAGAAAAACTTTTTTGTGCAAATAAAACACACACAAAAACGTGAAAACACTTGTGATAGTGAAGCACTCTGTGTAAACTTCTATATACACATTCCTCCGTGAACACATCTAAGTGGCTGAATCACATACCCTTACCCTAATTAGATAATAAACCAGCCTTCAAAGATAGAAATCTAGAAAATAGTAATCCAGTGGAACCTCACTCCAATATCCACAGGAATACCTTCATATCCCAAATTATTCATTCATATACTCCTGCCTTCATTTTCTCCATGTTACTCATAGATAGAAGAAATAACAGCCATATAGTGTAGTATGTTCAATTATAAAAGATCCAGACTTTAATAAATGTGCTTACATTTAGAAATCATAAAAAATGCATGTATTCCCATAAAACTCCACCTCAAGCAGCTTCCTGGAACGCCAAATGTGGTAAATCCTCTTTTTTTGGACTTTGATTTTTGTGTATTTTTGGCTTATATAAAGGTTTATATAATAATATATTCTCTCCCTGCCACTATTTAGTAACTCAACTTTGCAGTGCGCCAATATGCAAAGCTCCGGTACATGCTTTTCACACTGTAAGGTGGCCTACTGCCTGACATAGTGAAGCTCACATGTTATCTGTTGACAAGTAGACCATGGAGAAAAATAAATTGCAGAATTACTTTAGTAGAAACTTACCCACTAGTGAATGAATGCTGACTCATCAGACTTTTGTTTCCATCAAAAACATCCATGCCTCTTATGTCTTGAACTTGCTGTGTAGACTCTGCCAGGCTTCGCACAGACGGGGCTCGAGAGGTTTGGTCAATCATAGCTGTAGAATACCCAGAGCCTGCTCCAGCTGACTGTTGTATCTGTTGAGTTGCAACTGAATTCAAGGTGCCATACGATCCAGAGGCGGCACGGTTGCGGTTGTTGCTTTGGAAACGTTGTAAGGTGCGCATGGCAGGTGCACGGATTGTTCGCGTCTGTGCTACCTCTGCTCGTTCAACCCATGAGCCGCCACCACCATCCTGACCAAAGGTTCCTGAGAGGGATCTCTGCATTGTGGGTGCTGCGCTAACAGAAGACATCTGACGAGTATAGTAAGCTGACTGAGAAGCTGCCCCTTGGTCATATCTGTCATCACCATCTCCAATACGCAGTGATCTCAGAGACATTGTATCATAATCTCTTCGACCTGAATAGACCTTTTCATGGTAGGAGGATGGACGGGAGGTGGGGTATCGTGGTTGTGGAGGAGGTACACTGATTCTCTGTGAGGCCCCAACATCCACAGCAGAGCGGGAAGAGTAGCCTGAGCGCATGCCCCCAAGGGTACCATATCCAACTGAGCGACTGGACTGTAAAGGAGAAAAAAAAAAAAAAAAACACAACATCATCATTGCCTTATAATTACATTTTCTCTTTCACGCCCCCAACACAAAAATGGCAGCTTCCACCGACACACTGCACATAACGTCACCACCATAGCTATCCCTGATGAAGTCACGTGACCTGTGACGCTATGCGTTGGATGGAAATGTGGTGAACTTATGTCCAGTGTGCCGCTGGAAGCCGCCATTTTACCTCTCTTTGTTTACATGCTGTATCTGGGCTGTGTGAGCCCGCAATCCTTGTGAGTGTGATTTTAATTTTCTATTTTACTTCATTAAAAAAAGTGTGCCCTGTGGCTACTTATGTTAGATTATTCTATTTTTATTTGATTATTTTGTGTTTATTTAGGGTTTTCTATACAGCTGTAATTTGGTGCTCATGCACTATATTTTAATATACTGTATACTGCTCAGAAAAATTTAAGGAACACTTTGAAAAAACATCAGTTTCTCAATGGGGAAAAATATAATGCTGGATATCTATACTGATATAGACTGTAATGTGTTAGGAATGCAAGCATGCCCCATCGTATGATGGAAATGAAAATTGTCAACTTACAGGGGACTGAATTCAAAGACACCCCAAAAATCAAAGTGAAAAATTATGCAGCAGGCTAGTCTGTTTTTGCTGAAATTTCATTGTAGCAACTCAAAATGCTACTCAGTAGCTTGTATGGCCCCCACATGCTTGTATGCATTCCTGATAACATCAGGACATGCTTCTAATGAGACGACAGATAGTGTCCTGGGGCATTTCCTCCCAGATCTGGACCAGGGCATCATTGAGCTCCTGGACAGTCTGAGGTGCAACCTGGCAGTGTTGGGTGGGCTGAAACATGATATCCCAGAAGTTTTCTATTAGATTTAGGTCAGGCGAGCGTGGGGGCCATTAAATGGTATCAATTCCTTCATCCTCCAGGAACTGCCTGTATACTCTCGCCACATGAGGTCGGGCATTGCTGTGCACCGGGAGGAACCCAGGACCCACTGCACCAGCGGGTCTGACAATGGGTCTGAGGATTTCATCCCAATACCTAATGGCAGTCAGGGTGTCATTGTCTAGCTTGTAGAGGTCCATGGATATGCCTACCCAGACCATCACTGACCCACCACCAAAACAGTCATGCTGAATGATGTTACAATCAGCATAATCTTCTCCATGGCTTCTCCAGACCCTTTCAAGTCTGTCACATGCGCTCAGGGTAAACCTACTGTCATCTGTGAAAAGCACAGGGCGTCAGTGGCGGACCTGCCAATTCTGGTGTTCAATGGCAAATGCCAATCGAGCTCTATGGTGCCGGGCACAGGGCCCAGAAGAGGACATCGGGCCTTCATGCCATCCTTATGAAGTCTGTTTCTCATTGTCTGGTTACAGACATTCACACCAGTGGCCTGCTGGAGGTCATTTCGTAGGGCTCTGGCAGTGCTCATCCTGTTCCTCCTTGTACAAATAAGCAGATACTGGTCCTGCTGATGGGTTAAGAACCTTCTATGGCCCTGTCCAGCTCTCCTAGAGTAACTGCCTGTCTCCTGGAATCTCCTCCATGCTCTTCAGACTGTGCTGGGAGACACAGCAAACCTTCTGGCAATGGCACATATTGATGTGCCATTCTGGAGCAGCTGGACTGCCTGCGCATCCTCTGTAGGGTCCACGTATCGCCTCATGCTACCCATAATGACACTGACTAACAAAACTAGTGAAAAACAGTCAAAAAAGAGGGAGTAGGGAAAAAAAAAATGTCAGTGGCCTGAACCTGTAAAACCATTCCTGTTTTGGGGGTTGCCTCATTGTTGACCATCTAGTGCACCTGTTGTTAATCAGTTTCAGCTGCTTTGGTGTTAATGAAATTAAGAGCCCCCTCTGCTACTTAACTGACCAAATCAATATCCCAAGAGTTTCAATAACTTGATGCTATACTCTGATTAAAAAGTGTTCCTTTAATTTTTTTGAGCAGTGTATATTTTTGAGTTTAAAAGAGGATCGATTGACACACGGGTTTGATGGTCAGCAGTGTTTGCTGATATATCCATTTTTGCTTCACTTTATTGGTTTTTGATATATTATTTATTTTCTTTTATTGGCCTTTGTTATTTATGCACTTATTAGCAGCTACACACAATTTTTTCTGTCATTTTTATGTGGAAACACATTTTGGTTTAGGCAGCAGCTTTTCTCAGTAAAGGTATTTTGGCAGCGCATGAGTCTCTCCTTGCTTCTCAGTATCTGCTGGATCAGTTTATCTTGTGCCAAATGTTACCCTCTCAAAAGGAACAAGAACAGCTATACATACTGTATAGGAACACTGATAAAGTGAAATATACATTTTTTTAGCACCTTAGTTATTTAATATTTCACAAAAGAAATTATACTGGCTTTAAATATCCTTTGATAAATATGGCAATGCTACATCACTGATCTCTACATATCACAATACAATAGTGCTAAAGTAAAAGTCTAGTGGACAATTACTATAGTATAATCTGTAGTCAAAAGAGCACCAAACCAATGTCCATGAAAACTCCTGTAATTAAAAGAACACCATGAAAATGTCTATTAAAACCCCCAGCAATCTTTTGTGGTTATTCTGTTCTTTACATCCACAGTTAGAACCCAAAACACAATTGGGGGAAACCATTAAAGCTTAAGGAAACTATCAGAAAAGTGCCATTTTTTTTTAAAGAACTATATGCGCCTAATTCTGTTACGACTACTTTAAGAACCTGTAGCTACTTCAGTGACAACTTCTTAAAGAATTACTGCCATTTCTCAGATTATGAAACTGGTGGTGATCAAGAGCAGCTCTGAGCTGGAATACAGAGGTACGCCAGTACACAGAGTAGGGCATGTCCGAGCTATAAAGCGGCCATGAAATTGACAGCTTCTCGCACAGTACGATATTGTGGCCCCATTTAGCTGTCTGCTGAGAGATTCCCTGGCTGAAAACTTAATTTAAGCAAAGATCCGAAAATACAGGTGACGTCAATATCTAAATATGTCAATGCCTATACAGTATATGGGAAATGACTTGTCAATGGGTGGGCAGAACCTGATGGGGAACAGAGTGACCAGTTCCTCATCGGAATAGGGCAGTGGGCAAATTTTAAAAGCCGCTATGGATTTGTCCACTGCTGTTCCCCATCAAACTCCCCCAACCCCAGTACAAAACATGTTTGGCCACACACTTGTCAGTGTGATGGACGCAGTGGCCAGAGAGGGAGAGTGGAAGCATACTGGGAAAGAAATGTCCACTATGGATGCTTCAACTTCAGTGCAGGCACAGAGTGAGTCATGTACCTAACATTCATGTAGCTGTCGGGCACTGACAGTTTCAGTTCTGCACCTTGACAGAATTCTAATGGGTGTCTATGACCTCCTTTATGAGTTCCCAGACTGTGTTCCCTTATGCATGATCACTCACTTGGTTTCTATGCTGTTAGGGAAAGGATAAACTGCTTAAATTTAAATCCCTCCGTGTATTCCTCTCACCAAGACAAAAATAGTGATGTCATCAGAAGGAACACTTTCCCAAAATAAAAAAAGATAAAATTACTTCTTCATAGTATAACCCATTTTACTCAAATATAAAAAAAAAAACAACATTCAACTCACATTTTATGGAGTGCTTCACAGCACTAACAAATGTTATTATATAATATGGCAGTGTTAAACATTTGCCCATCAGCTCACGAAGGCCGATTCTCCTACACTCCAATGGTCATGTGATGCACGCAACGACTCCGGCTGATGTGTTTCATCACCCAGACTTATGTATGCGCTCACTCTTCATTTATGCGGTATAAGATCCAGAATCTCAGGGAAGGTGTTAAATGACTGGATTATTCTGCTTTAGCATTCACAGTCTGAGCTTGAGTTTTTCATTCATTCTCAATTGCATCCTAACACACCTGCATTGCAAAGTACGAACAGTGCAATGTGGTACATTGTATTACACAAAATGACATGTCTAATTTTTTTTTTGCAGATTAGTGCTTTTCCAGTCTATTCAAATAAATAGGCTGTCTCAACTCAAAGCATATTAATGCCTTATGTACACATGAACTCCCCTAGATGTTTAGCTCATCTGGCAGCAGAAAAATGCTAAACACAGTACCTTGTTTACCCATGTTTATTCATTTGATTGGCCACAGTATTTTCCTTTGACATGAAGGACCGCCCAAGTGCTAAATGCAGCTAGTGTTTAAAGGGATACTAAAGGCTTAACTTTTTTTTCTAAAAAAAAAAAAAAAAACCAAACATGCTATACCTACCTGCTGTGTGCAGTGGTTTTGCACAAAGCAGCCTGGATCCTCCTCTTCTCTGGTCCCCCGCAGGCTTTCCTAGCCCCTCCCTCCTTTCTGGTACCCCCACAGCAAGCAGCTTGCTATGGGGGTACCCGCTGCTCCGTGTGTCCATTCACACACGGAGCCATGGCTTGACCCCCAACCCCTCTTTTCTCATTGGCTCACTGGCTGTGATTGACAGCAGCTGGAGCCAATGAGGGACTCCTGGGATAGCCGAGACTCCAGTGCAAATCACTGGATCGAGAGGGGGCTTGAGTATGGGGGGGGGGGGGGGAGTGGGGGTGCTGCTGCACAAAGAGTTTTCTACCTTCATGCATAGTATTTATGAAGGTAAAAACCTTGAGCATTTACAACCACTTTAAACCCGATTTTGCCAGAAAAAAAAAAAAAAAAAAAAAAAAAAAACTGCAGGGCATTACATATGGTTTTGTTTTTCTAATTTTTATAGTGTATATAGATATTTTATGTTTTTTTCAGAGAAA